AGCAACTTTATCCTGGGCTCACCTTTCTAGTTGTTACCAAGTGGTACTTAAATTCATAGTGCCTGCTTCCGATCCCCGGGACTATGTGTTCTTTTGTCACCCTCTTTCCTTTCAGCCTTCAGTATTTCGGGTTAGGATTTGCTATTTGTTACAGCTTGATGGTTTGTGTAAAATTTGTCTTATCCACATCTAAAGTCTTTCCCTGATTTCCTCTTCAGCTGGCATCTGGTCCGTTTTCTGCCACAGTAGGTTATAGCTGGTGGCGTCTGGTCAATGGATTTAAAGTATCTTACGCAGATAGCTGTTTATAAATAACTGTACTTCTTTGATAATGATAGTTGTAGTAGTCCTGCAAGTTTCAGCTCCAATATCTGGAAATGTTTTGACGTTTGTGCTGAAAATTCCGACTTTGATTTTGACTGATAGTTGTTTTGAGTTCCAGATACCCTCCAATTGTAATAATGTAACCCTAGTCAGTCTATTCAAGAGTTCTTCGAAGTGTTTTACCCACCTGTTGTTCTCCTTTTGATCCTTATTGATTGGTTCTCCATTTTTATCGCTGACTAGTTGTTCTTGTGCACCATATTTTACTACTAGTCTCCTGATTATATACTGTTGTTCCGCCTAAATGTTTATTTATGCTTATGTGATCGATCTGGTTCTCCATAGTGTGGTCCGGTGAAACCAATGTAGATTTGTGAGGGAAAATACTATCACGTATATTTATATTGTTGAAAGCATATAGGTTCGTCAATCTCTCCTGATTGTTGTTCCTTTCTTCCAGTTCATATCATCTCACGATGCATTTACACTCGGCGTTCTCCATTTCGGCTTTGATATTTCTTTACTCTATCAGGATAGTCAAGTGTCTTTCTGGGCATTTGTATAGGATGGACTACAGCCTCTCAAATATTTGGTGTTTATCATCACCACTGAGATCAGTGGTGGATGCATAGTACTGGATGACATTCATTGGGATCTTTTAGTTTTTTTTATTTAAAGGATTTTTGATTATCATGAAGTTATAAGTTAGAAAAGCGATCTTTGTGCTTCTTTTGACTGCGTCAGGAAGGGCACCGGTCTCGAAACTTCCGGAGAGGTGGCTTTTACCATGACATGTCCTTTTTTTTCATCTGAAGACCGTCTTACTCCCAGGACAAAATTTAAATGTTTTTTTTTGTTAGTCTTTTTGGTGAGATTGTTTTTATAAAGTGAGTTTGTTAGTCGTACACCTGAACCTCTCGCTTATCCCAGGCATGGGATGTGCAGTAACTCTAGAGGGGCTCAAGGTGTATTTTGCACAAAAACTGAATGCTCATAGTGAAAGCCGAAAAGATTGTTTTATGTATATTCAAATGATTGAATTTATTCTTCAAGATGTCAGTTTAAAAAGATGACATATTATTTATGATACACATAAAATGCCTTTTACAAATGAAGGGAATATACAAAACTTACCCTAGTTCTGGATTCCATCTGTATGACATATGTGAAGAAGTATCAAGAATGCCAACCGCTCCTGATTGAGATATTGAGGTATCAGATGGAAAAAGAATGGGAGGTATGTATAACGAAGTACTATCTGATGGTGAACGAGTCACTCCATCGAGATAATTGAGTAAACGCACTTGATGTGTACCTAAATGATGATGATAGTGATAATGATGGTGTGATCGCGGAATAGTGGTGTCGTCTGGTGATGCATTTAAGTATTCATCATCTAATCGAAATGTAGTGGATAAATTATTCACTCGATTACGTCGGTTATTATTTGGTAAATCAGATACTAATAATTCAGTGAATTCTGTATCAGACAGAACAGAATGAATAATTTTTTGAGCCAAACGTTTACACAATGGACAAGAAGGATTGATACAGAGCCAACGATAAATACAATCATAACAAAACGTATGCATACAAGGTAAAACAACACAACGATTTGATTTCTCACATAAACAGATTACACAATCGTCGTCACTTTCAAGACCAGTGGATCTAGCTGCTGCCAGTGCCGCCCGAACGTCTGGGCAATCAATAAGACTTTGAGAGCGCCTACTATTGTTTGTACGTGGTGGATGGTTGGTAGATGGAATGTTCGTAGAAGGTGCGGAACGCGTGTTTGTTGCTGACAGGCGACGTGTGGCTCTTCTTCCAGACCTGGTGGTACGTAAACGTCCAGGTCTGTTACTGGAATCAAGGTCTTCAGTGCGAGTTAATTGGATACTATCATCGTTAAAACTCTCCAGGTTTATTCTAACACTTTCAGTGGTCGACTCATTCTGATATGATGGACTTCCATGAGAGGAGAACAAAAGCTGAAGAAATGGAGAACGGGCGAAAGTGCGTCGACGACTTCGACGAGGAAGAGAAACTGGAACATTGGGATTGCTCGGTTCTAGGTTATCTGATAAACCACGACTACGTGATCTTGGATTAGCAGTAGAACGCTGAAAATCACGTAGAATACAACAAATATATAGGTGAGGCAACAGTAGAGTAGGTAAAAAGTAACTGAGATTTCTAAACTATATAATCAGATCAGCTTGTTCTTGAGAAGAGGAAAAAATAACAAAGTATATAAAAACCAGAATTGGAGTTATACATTTTTCTTTAATCTCAATATCAGCTTTACCCAAAGATTGACATTCAGAATAGAAAACCTTGTGTTTTTCCAAGAAGACGTTGGAAAATACAGTAGTGATATGTATAAAAGCAATAAGGATGATCATGAAAAGTTAAGAGATAATTATTACAGAGAGCAATAATCAGAATTTAGTAACATTCCAATCTACTACAAACTAGGACATTGTGTAACAAGCGAAAGTATCCACTCCAGTGATACCTGAGAAAAATGTTTAAAAAAAGTAAATGACCTAATCAAATTAAAGATTTGAATAGAAGATAAATCCACAAATAAAATAACTCAGAAAGCAAATGATCTAACACAATGCGATATTTACAACAAATAAAATGTTTAGGGGTAGAGTTTAGATTTCTTAGTTTTCAAACCATACAATAATAAGTCATTGATAATGTAAGCTCTTTAAGTGTGATTTACGTAACCAGCTATAAAGCAATCCCGTGAGCCTTCACGAAGTCATTGATATTACCTTGTTCTTCATTTGCTGTGTTAGGGTTACTCTGGTTGGAAACTTAACATGTGGTTTGGTCACAGTGAATTTCATTTTTGATTAATCTAACTTAACCAATAACATTTGCAGTTTAAATAAGGACTTTAGTGATTTTCACACTGAATACTAGGCAAGATAATATAAATATCGATGGAAATAATAACTTCATATACTAGAAAAATCCTTTACTCGTTCTTTTTTTATTTATCTTAACACATAGATATTGGTACAAGGAGGCATCAAATACATATGCGCCACACAGATCTAATTTGATATGTGATACTGCCCGGGTGCCCAAACCGAAGCAGGTGATCTTCTTAGGGAGTCAAACCCGGAGCCTTCGACCTAAAGGTCTGATCCATAAGGCAGTGGAGCAACGCCAGGAAATGCAGTCCCATGGTTGTCGGTGACCAACGATCAATTCATACGTCATTTGTTCCTTTAAGATACTGGAGCCCATGTGCACCATTGGTTTGGAATCAGGGTTTTCCAACTCCCCTAAGTGGACTCTCCATGTCCACCAACCCGGTTAAAGCGCCGGACATCCGCTTTTCGTCCTCTCAATTTCGTAAACAACACTCACGCCACAAGAAGGCAGAGAGTAGGACTTCCCTGACAGGGAAATCCTTTATTCATTGCGAAATATTAACTAGACAAACTAAATAAAGTTTAGATATGAAGAAATTTATTAGTACCGTGGTATTTGTGCTAAATTCCAAGCTGAATGATATTGTGTGAATGACAATGACACTACCTGAATAACTAGTTTAATGTGGGTATACATTGAACCCGTACTCATAAATAAAATTTTCTAAAATTAGCGTCACTGATAAATGACTTAATTTATATTGTAAAGTAACAGTACTTCTCAATACACCGAAAATAAATACTATTTGTTACACGTATGGATAATTTGCAACTGAAGACACTGTTCGATCAGTTTTGCAGACTTTTTATAATTATCTAAATAATTAACAAACAATATCTAAAAATATTTATGTAACACGCTACTAATAAATAAACACTGAGTATAATATTACAACATAATTAAACTAAAAAGACATTTCATCAAGCGTTAGGACAGTATAGAATTGGCTAAACTTGTTTAAATTAATTATCGACTCAGGTAACGCTTGTGAAGCAGAGAATTAAGAACAAATCTACAGTATCTTGCTTATATCTTAGTATTCAGAACTACTAAGTTCATGTAGAAAATAGATGGAAACTAACCTGGGACAGATGATGAGTTCGATCTATTCTACGAACCTGACGTGTTCGTCTTGTTGGTGGAGGTGGTGAACGTGACGAATTACTGGATGATGATGAAGAAATGAACGACGCTCCCACAGGCCTCGATCGACTCAGTAGACGATAATGCAATGTATCAATAGAGGCTTCTGGACAGTCAACATGCTGAACAGCATCTGTTGTTACAACATCACCCTGGCGTCTGGAGACATGAGGCAAAGCTGCGGCTCGACGTCGGCCATACATAGTTCGAACAAACGTGCAGTAATGCACAAAATAGGTATTAAACTTTGGGACTAGACTATAGAAAGCATAAATGGGAGTTAGATCGTACGACATGATAATTCAAAGAAAAAATTTAAAAAATAGGTAACTAATTATTTATTTCAATTTTGAATAATTGATGAACAACAGGAATGATTTATGTTTATATTTTTCAAGATAAGAAATCTAAAATTAAGAATATATAGTTAATAATTTACTTTAAATATCGCAACGATAAAGCAAAAAATACATTGTAGTTCAAAAGATGAAGAGAAATGTAAAATTGAGTGACTTAGGAGCAATGATGCGAGGTAATACAGATACTCTTGAAATGTATACGAATAGCAGTTGTAGTGCTTATAATGTTTCAGCCCAGGGATTTTCGTTTAGAAAAGCTTGTACAACCTCTCTCATAGACAAATTTGGTATAAGCTGATCTTCTATCAATGGTTGACGTGAAACAGGATCAAAGTGTCCAACTTGGCGCAGGTGAGATATAATTGACGGCCGATCATAGGTAATTCCACAAGGTGTGATTACAGGATCTCGCATTAGATCAAAGCTAATACGACCACAAAGGTAGTCTGGAATCTCACGTTTTTTTCGGCGTTCATCCACCTATAAAATAGTAAGTAACTTACAATTTATTTACTTCGTATGCTAAGTATAAAACAAAAATGACTTTCTACACTGCTTAATGAACCAAATGAAGCATTTTTGTGATGTCAGTAGTAAATAAAACCAACTTTTATTGTAAGTCTGCTATCACTTGTGATTGCACTGCATTTTGAGATATTTCAATGAGATGACGTATCGAAGTGACTGAAAAAAGAGACTCAATGCTCAACCGTAAATCATATCAGTAAATTACTTGGCACATGGAAATAACAGCCTACAAAATATCAAGTGTTCGAATTGATCATACATTTGTTTATTCAATTTTATATGAGGTGCATTTGTGATACTTGATATGGAGGAATTCTTTACAACAGCACTGTCATAACTTAGTATATCAAATCACCAGAAGTTTTTTAGTTATACCTATTAGGAAATGCTTACATTAAAGTCCCAGTATATACTTCGGAAGAAGAGACATTGGTTGGTATGGTAACCAGAAAAAACAACTAATGGTGAAGGGATTAAACTACAAGTGGAAAGTGAAAAGTACAAATTGGTAGTGTGATAACAGGTGCATTAGTTTTTGATAAGAATAATAAAGGTTCAAATCAATGCTACATAATCGGAAATAGGTCAATGATTAGAAAAATATAGACAGTGAGATAAAATTTATAAAATTACAAGATGACGTAATAAGGAGTGTTCAGATAATTGGACCGTGAAACGTATATTTGAGAGAAAATAAACTAAAATGGTAGGAGGGGGTGAAGAAAAATAACAAACGAAGGGAAAGTTTGAAAAAATAATAAATAAATCCATTTATTAAGGCCAAGGGAGAGATAAGGGTGTTACAAATTTCTTTTGAACACAAAGACTTGGCTTGTTGGCTCGAATTCCCATAGCTTCTGCTATGTGTAAGAGACGAGATCGAACACCATAAGGAAAACTAGTGGGAATACGATAAATAATTTTTAATGACTTGTTTCTGTCCACTACATGACCGCTATCGATCAAGTATGATAGAACCGAGCTGCGTATTGTCTTGACGTTACCTTTTCCCAACCACGAAGGAAGGTGTTCACTAACTCTTTGGTTCAGTTGCGTGGTAGTGCGTCCAATATAGCTTTCTCCACAGGAGCAGCTGAATTCGTAGATACACATAGAAGTGGCATAACCAGGTAACTTATCCTTCGGTTGGAGAATCACCATAGATCGGGTCGAATACGATAAACAGAGGTTGGCAGCATAAAACGTTCTCCTTACTGCTCTAGTCAGTCTATCACGTAATACATCACCATTGAATTGCAGCTTCAAGAAAAGAGGTTTTTTATTAGCCGTTAGTGTCACTATTTTCTTGCTTATTACACGCAAGTGTTTCTTCAGGAAACCCTGTGGATATCCCAATTCAATCAACATATTATGAATGTGCTCTAGTTCCCTATCAATTGTGTCAACTGAGCATATCTTAACAGCTCTATTTGCCAGACATTTGATTAAGTTTCTCTTATAATGAAGAGGCACAAAGCTTAAAAGATTTGTGTATTGGCTTGAAGAAGAACTTTTTCTATACACGCCTCTGCTGATAGAACCATTTTCTTTTCTATTTAACAAAACGTCAAGGAAATGTAGTTTGTTATCTATTTCCTCTTCACATGTAAATTTAATTGCAGGATGTTTGTGATTGAATAGTTCTAGTAGGTGTTCTTTATCCGAATGCTAGAACCATTAAACGGCATGTACTCAACCAAACAGATTCACTAAAAATACACATAAACGATCTGGAAAGAAATAATTCACAAAGAGAATCTATGGTCGATACCCTACCACTGTGAATAAAATCACAATTTATGGATTATAATAACATAATGGCAAAAAAGTAGATCGGTAAAAGTGGGGAAAACACTAATTCAGTCACTGGAACCTCATTAACCTGAACGAAAATTTCCTATGAACCCTGAGCGGTACGTTTATAATCTCTTTAGTCAGTCAGTAACAACGTAGAACGTCGTACGTACGTACATCAATTCGATTACGCACACCACATTAGCACAGAGATGCAATTGTTGATTCAAATCCCGTAGTGCTAGATGTAGTAAAATTGTAAGCTGTAATTAGAAAAATTGGGGTTTGAAGATATTATTCAAGGAGTATAATCCAGTGAAATAAATTTGGAAAGAGAAAAAAGGGACATGAAGAATTCAGATTAGAATTTGGGAGAACACAAAGAGTGGATGCACCTGAGCCATTGTAAACGATTTTGAGCCATCTCATTCAGGGTCTCTAACCATCGGTTGCTATCATCTCGTGGTCCCCAACCAGGTAGTCTACACCTACCAACATGACTCAGTCCACTTGTCAGTGACTTCATGGACTTGTGCCATGTTTTGGTTTGGCCGCCTCTAGCTTTCTTCCAACCTACTCCTATACCACTGAACATCGCACGTCGAGGTAGTTGGTCGTTGGGCATACGTAACTCGTGTCCCAGCCATCTCAACTGATGAAGTTTCACTACTTCATCAATTGATTTGCCATCCTTACCTAGTACCCGTTTCCTAACAACTGCATTACTTGCTCAATGGTCCCAGGATATACGAGCAATGTTTCGAAGACACCTATGATCAAATACTAGTAATTTAGGAATATCCTCTACTCTTACTGGCCATGTTTCACTGCCATAAAGTAGGACGGGACGAACTGCTGCGCAGTAAGCACGTCCTTTGGTTGATAGGCGGATATCTCGTCTACGCCATAAATGACGCAAGTTGGCAAAAGCTAGTCGAGCCTTCTGTATCCGTGCTGAGACTTCGTCACACACCAGACCACAAGGGCTGATGAGACTTCCAAGACAAGTGAAGCGGTCGACACCTTCAACTACTTCACTCCCTATCATTAGTTCGGGTTTCGATGCAACCCAATCCTGAAGCAACATTTTGCATTTCGAGGGGAAGAATCGCATGCCGAACATGCTTGCATTGTTGCTTAGAGTGGTCAGAAGACTCTGCATTTTGTCAGCGTCTTCACCAAATAAAACTATGTCATCAGCATATTCTAAGTCAACAAGTGAACCTCCCGGTAGAAGTTCAAACCCAGGAAATCTAGACGAGGAAAGTGTTATCTCTAAAAGTACGTCGACGACAAAGTTGAACAAGAATGGAGAGAGTGGACAACCCTGACGAACACCACTTGAGGTAATCAATTCTGATGACAGTTCGCCATAAGCTCTCACTCGGACAGTTGTGTTCGAGTGGAGAGCCTGTATAAGGTTAATGTACATCTTTAGTACTCCTTTCAGTGACAAACTCTGCAACAGAACCTCACGATCAGCAGAGTCAAATGCCACCTTGAGGTCGAGAAATACTACGATTGTGGGACGTCTGAATGTGTGTCTGTGTTTTAGAACCTGACGTAGTGTGAATATCTGATCTATACAACCACGTCCAGGTCGGAAACCAGCCTGATTTTCTCTAGTCTGTTCTTCACGAGCTTTAGTTAGGCGTCGAAGTATTATTGAAGCTAATATTTTAGACACTATATTTGTCAAACTGATTCCTCTGTTATTGTCACAAGAGGACTTTTGTCCTTTCTTAGACTGGCACAATCAGTGATTGAGACCAGTCAGATGGGATTACGTCCAGTTCCCAAATTCTACCTAAGACCTCAGTTAATCTCACTGCTAATACTGGACCACCATCCTTAAAAATCTCAGGGGTAAACCTGTCAGGGCCTGCTGCTCTCCCTCGTTTCAGATTTCCTATGGCTTTTTCAACTTCGTAAAGAGATGGAGGACCTACATTAACTTGCCATTCAGGTTGACTGGAGATCGTGGGAAACCGAAGTGTGGCTGGAAGCCAGTTGAACTGATCCCTGAAGTGTTCTGCCCATCGATCCAATCTCCTGGATGTAGAATGTATAATATGCCCATCTTTCTCTGAACAATTGTTTGCTATTACCTATTGCCGCTGCCTTTTCCATCTCTCTTGCCTTTGCTACCCACCACTGTTCGCGATCATTGCGTAGACTTATTGTTAGCTTGCGCTTAAGCTGACTTCGCTGTTCGTCATGTTCGGAGCCAGATGGGATGAGCATCTATCAGTGTGCTTAATGCTGCTGAGATCCAGTATTTCTCCCTAACCTTATGGTTTACCTTACTAACAGATATCACTGCACTTTCCACAGCTTTTCGGATATCATTCCATGCTGCCTCGGGGTGGGCATCACTTACATGACTGCCTAACTGTTTTTCTAGTTGTTCCTGAAATATAATCTCAGCTTGACTATCATTAAGTAGGCCCCTAAGAGGTTTACTTGCAGCATCTTTCCTACGTCCAGTAAGACGCAGACAGATACGCGCTCGTACTAGAGCATGATCTGAATCTAAGCATGTACTCCAGAATGAGCGACAGTCTTCTATCGAGCCCCTCCATCGGTGGCTGATAGCGATGTGATCTATTTGGGTCCAACGTTAGGACGAATTAGGGGGTCGCGATGTTAAAAGATGTTTTTCCTTATGCTTAAAGTTAGTATTTGCAAGGAACAGGCGGTTATCTGAGCATAGCTGCAACAGACGGTCGCCATTATCTGTTCTTTGAGCCACGACACCATAAGATCCACCTAGGTGTCTTTCCCTATCGCTTAGTTTTCCTACTTGAGCATTAAAGTCACTATTACTACATCCGAGCGCTTAGCTTTTCGGAGAAGGTCCGAAAGCTTTCTGTAAAACTCATCTTTTACATCATCTGAGCTGCAGTCAGTGGGAGAATAGGCAGAGACGACGAAGAGGCAACGACGAGTGTCCCTATCTTTCCGGATTCTTACTGTTCCGTTCAGTCGGACAGCGCACAAACGACTGTCTACTGGGATCCACTCTAAGAGAGCTAGTTCTGCCCTAGGACTCAATGCTATACCTACGCCGGCGAAGCCACGGGAAGCAGAATCAGGGCTTCCAGATACACGAAGCGTAAATCGAGTCGGTTCTTTATTTTGGCATGGTGAGGTCAAATGAATGACGCTACTCGGATCCTGTATGCGCGTTTCGGAGACGCAGCACACATCGATGGCGCGGGATTGTAAAGTCCTAGCTAAGGAAGCCTGCTGTCCTATTTGGCTTAGTGTTCGTACGTTAAAAGCTCCTACGTGTAGTTTAGAGCGTGGTTTCAGGAGACCAGGAATAGAGTTCCACGAACTCGAATCGCTTGCCCTAGCGGTGCGGCGTGATAAAGAGACGTGAGGAGGGTTAGTCATGGAGATAAGAGAGGTATTAGGAGGGGTAGAAAGGATTTGAATGTGACCAACTTGGTCTCGTGTGCTGTTACGGGTATGAGGGCTGATGTCACTTCCCGGTTGCCCACACCGTGGAAGGGTATTTCTTGAGGAACCTGAAAAGGAAATTGGATTAGTGTTGGTCTTGACGACCTGGGAGCGTGACCACAGAGCCCAAGGGACAACTGCTTGAGGCCGGTCGCGCACGGCCTTTTTGTGGAAGGTTTTTGACGTGTTAGCTCCGTTCTTCAAAGGGCCTTACCGCCGGAGACGGAAATCCGTGAGGTAAGGTGAGGTGTGACATTTTTAGGGTCGATTTTTTCTAACCCCATCCCTCCTTGTGGGAAGGCAGCATCGCTGTCATGCTGGTTGTCCGAGGGAAACACCTTACTGCTGTCACACCTCTCTACAGTCAGCAGTACGACTTCGCCCTCAGACCTTGAGTTGCTGCTTTTAGTCTTACCGTTCTCCAATCGACCTGCCTGGTATGGTAGAACCTACAGGAACATATGTTCCAGCCAATACAGCTCGGTTGGGTCATCACGATAGGCAAGTCCGACCACCGCGTCAAGTTAGCAGCTTCGGTGACTGTGCAAGTAGAAGCTTTGTCGCTCGGCCCTAGATTTTGTGACTATAGAAATAAAATAAACCAACTCGATACAGATGTACAGTTTGAAAATCTATTTATACAAACAATAGATTTGGTGCCTACTTCTCCCGATGAACTCACTACGTTTAAGACCACTTTGATGGACATCTGCAAACAATACTATAATAGCAAATGTACAGTGAAAACTCCACTTACCAAACAACACCGAGATGCACTACATATGCTTAGAAAAAACAACTCTCTAATCATAAGCAAGCCGGACAAAAGAGAAGAGCTAGTTCATATGAACAAAGCCGATTACATTAATAAAAATGAACCGGATTTTGAATGATCCGACAAAATTTCAGAAACTCAACGACGTGAAGGATTTCAATATGAAGGCAGAAAAATTGCTGACTAACTCACTAAAGGAATTAAAAAAATAGATGTATACTTACTCCTGACATACACGACTCACTCAAGCCCACTGGATCGAACACACCGCAACTATATGGTTTTCCTAAAGTTCGCAAGACAGGTCTTCCTCTTCGCCCAGTTTTAGATATGTATAATTCACCTTATCATAAAACTGCAAAGTGGTTAGTTAGAATCCTAAATACCTTACACAGACTAGTCGTCAACAGAAGCGTGAAAGACGTCTTCGATTTCATTTCTAAAGTGGAACATATGAACTTAAATGAGAAACGGATTACATCTTTAGATGTTGCTTCAATGTTCACCAATGTACCGTTAACGGAAACTTTTGATTTTTTGTGCCAACCACTACAGGAAAAACAAATCAATATTGGAATTCTTGAGGTTAGTCTTAAAGAATTACTTTTGAAATGCACAATGAATGTTCATTTTGTCTTTAATACCACATTTTATAGACAAATTGATGGTATAACGATGGGTTCCTTGACGTTTTGTTAAATAGAAAAGAAAATGGTTCTATCAGCAGAGGCGTGTATAGAAAAAGTTCTTCTTCAAGCCAATACACAAATCTTTTAAGCTTTGTGCCTCTTCATTATAAGAGAAACTTAATCAAATGTCTGGCAAATAGAGCTGTTAAGATATGCTCAGTTGACACAATTGATAAGGAATTAGAGCACATTCATAATATGTTGATTGAATTGGGATATCTACAGGGCTTCCTGAAGAAACACTTGCGTGTAACAAGCAAGAAAATAGTGACACTAACGGCTAATAAAAAACCTCTTTTCTTGAAGCTGCAATTCAATGGTGATGTATTAGGTGATAGACTGACTAGAGCAGTAAAGAGAACGTTTAATGCTGCCAACCTCTGTCTATCGTATTCGACCCGATCTATGGTGATTCTCCAACCGAAGGATAAGTTACCTGGTTATGCCACTTCTATGTGTATCTACGAATTCAGCTGCTCCTGTGAAGAAAGCTATATTGGGCGCACTACCAGGCAACTGAACCAACGAGTTAGTGAACACCTCCCTTCGTGGTTAGGAAAAGGTTACGTCAAAACAATACGCAGCTCGGTTCTATCACACTTGATCGATAGCGGTCATATAGTGGACAGAAACAAGTCATTAAAAATTATTTATCGTATTCCCACTAGTTTTCCTTATGGTGTTCGATCTCGTCTCTTACACATAGCAGAAGCTATAAGAATCCGAGCCAACAAGCCAAGTCTTTGTGTTCAGAAGAAATTTGTAACACCCTCCCTTGGCCTTAATAAATGAATTTATCTATTATTTTTTCAAACTTTCTCTTCGTTTATTATTTTTCTTCACCCCCTCTACCACTTTATTTTCTCTCAACTATACGTCTCACGGTCCAATTATCTGAACACCCATTATTACGTCATCTTGTAATTTTATAAATTTTACCTCACTGTCTATATTTTTCTAATCACTGACCTATTTCCGATTATGTAGCATTGATTTGAACCTTTATTATTCTTATCAAAAACTAATGCACCTGTTATCACACTACTAATTTGTACTTTTCGTTTATTATGTAATTGTTCTCATTGTTACCATTGTCTCATAAACTACGTTGATTGGTTTAATAATTTCATATATGCATATAAATATTACTGTATATTAGAAGTAAAGCCTTATGAGGATCTAATCGAAAACAATATTGTTCGCTTATATATGTTGTTCAAATTTTACAATATGGGAATATTTCAAATTTTAAACTACAAGTGACATGATAATTTCAAAGACACCGTTGATGAGAAATCAGTACTCGATAATGACGATTCCGACTTTCTTTGAAGGTATCAGAATAGGTAATGAAAAAAATTGATTAAATTTTCAGTTATGAAATGATCATTTTCAAACAAAATGAGCAAATTGAAATCCCATTTTTCAGCTCCTACTGCGATACTGATGATGAATGGTGACTAACTGCATATCGTGGAATTTAGGTTTGAAATAATTCGAAGGTTTAAGACATAACTGTTACGGACAAATGAAGCAATATATAAACCTCAATTCTTAGTGAAAATACCAGGTTACCAAGATTAAATGTATTCTAGTACAGATACACGTACCAATATTTGTTCCAGATTCTAGATTCTCTACAGTCGACTCAATGTAGCCGTGGAGGCTATAAGTTTACTGCTAGTAAAGTGAAAACTATGTATATTACACTATACTATACGGTAGTCTAGTCTGTATGATTAGTTCGCATATTAAAGAACTACCTGGTTAGGATTCCATATCCAGAATTCGTGGGTGAATGTGACAAGCCTTCTAAATCTACTTACTGGGAAACAACATTCCAAATATATGACTGCATACATAACACGTGATGTGGCATCAAAATCCTTAGTATAATACAATTACCTACCTTACAGAACAGTTCATTAAGCTCTGAAATGTATTTTTGAGCAGTATTATCTATTTTCGAAAGAATTTCTTGGTGCTTTGGTGAGATGTTTTCAAAATTGTTATCTTCGGCTGATAACAAATCAATAGACACGTTTTTGGTTGGCTCGACATTTGGTAGAGAACCATTGATTCCAGACAATTTAGATAGAATCACTTGTTTTTGACGGGCAGCATCTTCCATGATTAAGTTGTTTAAATAAACCTGCGTCAAAAATAAAAGTAGGCAATATGAACGCCATTAAGGCCACGAAAAATAGGAGTAGCTAAAAGATGTAATAGATGTAAGGTAATGAGGTGATCATTCAGAATTGTTTGAGTTAATCTAACACTCCGTAAACGATAAGTAGGTGTTTATATGCTGGGCTTTGAGAAACAAATTTTGTATGTTTCACAGGTAAAAGGTAGCAATATTACGCGGCTCCTCAAAGCAAATCATGTTTTAAATATCGTCATCATATGACGAAGTGATGCGACAATAAAGAGATATTATCTTACCTTGATTTCAGTAATGTCACATTCAAAAGTCATCATTAGAGACACAAAGAATGGCGAGGTATGTGATTCACAATCTGCACTTCAAACAAATTTCTACTAAGTGAAACTGAACACCTAGATAAAAAGACAGCTCAATTTCAAAACCGTCTACTATATTAAATATTAGGAATTTTTAATTTACTTATGACCAGTCACTTCAGATCATTCAGCCAAAAAATACAGATTGAAAGTTTTAATAAACAACCAGTATCGACTTGAGAACTTATATTAACATAGTTGAGGTAGATCAATTCTTATTCATATGCAACAGATTCATCTAGCACTAGCATTGTTGGCCATGGTGACACTTGAAATGGAAGTCGGAGGGAGTTTAGAGTTGATAGTCGAGGTAGGGAGTGATGATAGGAACTGAAATGGAAAAGTAATTATGAATATAGTGGTCTTGAGTGCTGTTAAAGGTATGATGGTGGTTATCATTTCCCGGTTTCCCACACTGTGGAAGGGTCCTTCTAAAGGTACCTGAAAAGAAAATTGGATTAGAAGTGGGCTTAGTGACATGAGAGCGTGACCGCAGTGCCCAAGGGACAACTGCTTGAAGTCGGTCACACACGACCTTTTTGTGAGTAGTTTTCGTGTTAGCTCCGTACTTGTTTGGATCTTACAGCCGGAGAAGGAAATCCGTTGGATAAGGCGAGGTGTAGATTTTTAGTGCTGACCTTTTGTAACCCCACGGTTCCTTTGTGGGAAGGCAGCATCGCCGTTATACTGGTTGTCTGAAGTAAACATCTTACTGTGGTCACACCTCTGTACAGTCAGCAGTACGACTTCACCCTCAGACCTTGGGATTGCTGCTTTTAGTCTTACCACTCTTCAACCGACCTGTCTGACATGGTGGGACCTCGAGGAACGGTTGTTTCATCAAGTGTAGCCTGATTGGTTCATCACGATAGGCGATCCCGACGACCAAGTCAAGGTAGCAAAAAGGGTCAGGACTAAACTAGGTGAGCATAAAAAGATGGAATTACAAATTCTGGCACGTAACCATTATCATCCATATTGAATACCATTTTTTTTAAATAAATAATACTATTACTTGTAAAGAAATTTCTTCCTTTTGTCTGTCTTCATCCATAGCTTCGAAACGTTTTTTCCGAGCTAATCGGATAACTGAAGTTATATCATCTCCAAAATTACGATGCTGTTCTAAAGCTAAATTATGAGCATGAACAAGTCTTGTTAATGCTTCTTCATATTGATTTAAGCCCAAGTGTGCTTGTCCAGCAAAGAAATGAGCTTTTAAATTGTTTTGATCTAAATCAATTGCTTTTCTACAAGAGGTTAGAAAAGAAAATAAACATGGCTAAATGGCAATGTGAAGAGAATGTTTCCTAGTTAATAGTCAGTATCAAAACGACTGAGTACGTCTTAGAAAACAATAGATGTTTAAAATGGTCAGAACAGAATTGTAAGCAACGCCCTGATTCAAAGTTCCACCTATATTTACGTATTGGTTACCGTTGTACGGAACGATTTGACTATGAGATGACGACATTCGAAGCTACTTTTCCGATTTTATTTATACATATTGATTGGATGGTTATTAAGTATTCTGGTCTTATTATTTTTTTACTATCCTAGTTCTAAGTTTTTATTTGAACCATAATTTGTCGTTATAGTATTTTTCACTCAAAACCTAGTACCGATTAACTGTGTACCCAGTATTCCCTTTCCCCATCATTAATGTTGCTTCGTGATAACACTGTTAACTAATTGGTCTGCTGCGAGGTCCGGTTTTGTATGTATATAAACGAATGTCTGAAATATAATGACGAACGTAAACAGGTGAACATTGGACTTAAGTTCTTCCCCTTCGTTCGTGGGTAATTAGTATTGGGTTAACTTCTAGGCATATAGTGTCAGTCTTCCTCGTCCTTAGTGTGTATTGGCTGCTCAGAGTCATCTGGGCGTATGAAGTGATTGTAGGGTACAACAAGTACATTACGGAAAAACGATGTCTAATAATTTTCAACACTGAGTGATAAGATATTTTACATTCTCAGGTAGCGTGTACTAGAATGGTTGGGAATAGGTATTGCCAAATCTTAAATTTGTCTCATCGTTTCTGACCTAATAACGGCGAACATTAAGTCAAGATAAGATTTTTTCGATTTACCACGTTACAAATAAATTGTCAGAAACTATAAGGTTACCAGGGTCTGACATAGATTAGCTCAAACAAATAAGACTGATGGGTTACAAATAAATAAATTCTGCTTCTTTGTTTGTCTAGAATTGGGTCATCCAGAATCTCACTAGAATGGCCTAATCAACTAAAAGATATTTTCAGAACTTAGTGGAATCTACGTGTGAACTTAGTGAGTTAACTGAGCAATATGTATCACTTGAAGGTTTATTATAAATCAAACAGCTGGGGCATAAAACCACAAAGTGACAACATTTGGTTTATTTATAACACATATAAATCCTAGTTTGACAGAGCACCAGAAGCACATCACATAAATGAAATGATAATATTGTGTGAAAAAGGGTCGAATAGTTAATAAATAAATGGGAGAAGATAGTAATTAATAAAAAAATGGTCCAATTACAAACACAAACATAAAGAGAAGGTTTATTTTGTTCTTATGGAGAATGTAAAAGAAAACTACAGCAGGATTGATACTGGCTTCTGATAATATCTCAAGCTACTGAACTTTACGGTCTACGAGACCCCTATCGAGTAGTTATGATGGATCACTAGCTGCTGATCCTATACGGCTATTTTTCATACTACGTCCCCACGTCGTTACTTAACTTCCCTTTTTTGCACCTAGTCTGAGTGTCGGTAGATAAGACGAGGTGTGTAAGCTTCTAAAATGACATTAGGAAACCACATCCAATTAATCGAACTTGGTGTTCCAGGATGGTGATACGAAATAATAATAATAGTTTATTCTTAAATAACAGTTTGTTACACGAGGCATGCCAGTTTACAGGCAAGGCACGAAGTGAATCATCATCACTGATCTCGGATACATGATATCTCACCTTACTAATACTAATCTAGTGCACCAGTTGCACTTCTTCGAAGCACTGATAACCGAACACCTTCGGTTCAGAGGGACCAAGTTTTACGAGCACAAAGCAAAACTTCTTACTGATGTTGTAAAGCCGATTTTCACAGACAGAATAACATAATGACGGCGCCAAAGATGTCCGGAATTGTGATAGAGAGCTCTGGCTTTTACTAAGTATAGACTGATCTCATCTGTCACGTCACCAACAGGATACACAAGGCCCAAAAACACTGACATTTCAACTATTTCCATAGGCTCACTTCAAAAGGTAAGTCCATAACATGGTTCTGTGGCCTTTGGAGTACGTTGCATTTCAAAGTTAGAAAAGTACATGCCATACATACAAACTAACTGGAACTGATTAAAAGTAGTATGAGTGGGTTGTACATCACCACACAGTAAAACAATGTCGTGTGAGTACTTGAAGTTGAAAAGTCCTTTTCCAGGGATAAGATATCCATCAACACCAAGTATTTACTTCAGAGTTGTTTTGCAAAATGCTATCGGTGACAAAATGTTGTGACATACACTGCGGAAATCACCAAACTTCATCACGAGGCAAGCGATAACTTGAAATCCTGAAGGGAAACGGAAAAGAAGGCCGAAGAACACACTGCGTCGGAATTGGAAGCAGACATGGAAAGGATGAATAGTAAGTGGAAACAACTGGAAAGTATTACCTAGGACGAAGTTGGATGGAGAATGCTGGTGAACGTCCTACGCTCCCCCATGAGGGTTAACGGGTGTATATAAGTGAGATAAGCCATATAAAGTTGCTCCAAAATGTTTTCGGCACTAGAAATTCAGCTATGTGGAGCAGAATCCCACCAAGCAACCGATAGAGTAGGACATTTAGGCTTATATAGCGAACACTCTACATCCTGAGTCTTACTACACGATGTACGGACCTTTGAGGCGATCGAATACTTCTCTCACTAAATTATGTACTTGGTCTTGCTCAGACCACGAATCATTCATTCACATCAGGTACTTTCATCTTACCACAGTTGCCAATTTTCGTTGTTTCTAAGAAAAAAGTGGTGGTAGAATAAAGAAACTGAAGTCTATATGCAAAACCTAGCGGCTGTTGAAATGGAATACAACTCAATGGTAGGAAACATGCTTTTTAAATACTGTTGGCATTATCCGCATCGCGAAAACGAATTATTTTAGGGGTTTGAAACAACCCCATGCTTGACCAGATTACCAATAAGAGGCTTATTCAGTCTCCCTGTGAATAATTCCTAAAATCAGAAGATCTAAGAGCTACGAATCTATTGAGTTGAATTCATTATGAGACTTGCAAATGAAATCCATGCATGTTGCATAAAATGTATGGTTCATTGCCTAATACAAGTTATCGATTTTGACTTACTTTTGTAGGAAATATTCATGATACAAATGTCTGACACTGGTTTTAAAGGCTGTCTAGACAAAGGATTACATACATAAAAATTACAGTAAGATTCAGATTCATAAAGTGGTTATGTGAATTATTCATGGACAAGTAAAACGTTTCAAGCAAAATAAAATGATCAGTAGTCCCATTATAATATTTGGCTGAAAGCAAACACTTTGGTTCCAATTCTAGTTATTTTAACTTCATATGAAATTAATATCTGAAACGAAGTCCAAGTGCGACAGCAAGCAAAAGACTAGACGCTGGTAGCTGGGACCTAACCATTAACGTTAATCAGTCCAATTTATAATTTTTGAGTATCGTGGCAAAAGAAGTAATATCTAAGTGCATGTCAAAAATAGTTGAATTTGAAAACATCTGTTAATTAAGGATTAAAATAGGAATTATTTGTGTCAGTTAGTTTATTAATAAATTTACCACCCACACCCAAAAATTATTAGTATCCCAAAACAAAGTCGTATGTTACACGAATTCCTCCAAGTAGTACGAACAACAACCTATCCTTTATTAATCTCGCGTTTGTTTTCCAAAAACGTCTTATTATTATATATACAACTGATAGAATTTTATAGTTCTAATCACGACCCAGTGTTTTTAGTGGGGAGATTGAGATATCAGTTATTGATTCTAGAAAAAATACTCCCTTTAAATGAAATATTACTCTGAGGCTGTGGTTGATAAGATTGAACATACGTTTATTCATCCATCTATTTACTTCACACTAAAACACGTGACTCCCATTGAAACATCCAAGACAGTATACACAGGGATTCCTATATCATAGCATTCTCTAGTTCAGTACCAAAGCGACTACATTCAAAGAAACAAAAACAATATAGTACCACACTTTATGAGATAAGACTACGATTAGTTTAATCAACATGAGACATAACGTTTTAATTAATCCGACGGTAAAACTCTAACCATAAGTCGAGACTGATAGTATTGAGTAATAAATACTTTTTGTTGAACTGTATGCCTTATAATGTTAACTCGAAGCTTTCTGACCTTGTAACTATAAAATCATTAGAATGATTAAATACATGCGTCTTCGTAAACGTTTTAGTTAACCTTCCACAATTTCGCTATTATCAATGTATTGAAACAATATAAATCACGTTTATGTAATTTACTGATCACATATGATTTAAAAAGATGAAATTGTTAGTCTCAAAACTAGGGCCGTTATCTCACTTTTTAAAGCTAATATTCTAGTAATTCAATGATTATTAGTACGCTAGCAATGTCTTTCAACAGATTATAAAAGCAAATCATCATTTATTAACCAATTCACCCAGATATACACGCAGACTAATGTCGCCACAAAGTACTAATAATACTAAAATTCGCTGAAATAAATTTGTCATAATTGAAAGGCAATTTCAACAAGTTATTGTAAGTTTATACAAACCTGCAATCAGATAAAACTTTTGAATAATCTTGCATTTGAATATAACACAACGCTCTGTTTGAATAATACGAAGAAATATTTGGTTGTTGGGTGATAGCATGTGTATAGCATTGAACTGCTTCGTTATATTGACATGAGTTGAACAGTTGATTGCCCATGTCTTTCAACGATTGATGGGTAAGTGTGGATATATCAAGACCTCTTAAAATATTTGACATGGTTGAAATAGTCCCCCTATAAGTAAAAAGTAAAGTAAGGTTTACAATTCCGCTTAATAAGGAATAAAGAAAAACGATGATTGAAGTTAATCACGGATCGTTTTACCACAATGACGAAATTTTCCGATATGTATATGAAGTCATCACTCGTACTGAGATCCGAATTCTAGAATGACAAAAACGTCAAGAAACCACATCCAGTCATTGAAATACACGATATTACTCAGGCTACATAAAAGTCGGACAACTGGATAGGCGCAATTACAAAAGTTCAATACAGAGTTCCTACGAGATGAGTTCAACATAGATCACTGCATCAACTTCCAAGCCCTACAAGATCAATTAGAAGGGACGACTATAGAGAGCAACTGGAATGGGATTACAAAAACATGAACTTAAAAATGCCGAGTGTCGCTACCTATAGAGCATCAATCAGTTAGCCAGCACAAATAATGGGTCTCTGTAAACGTTCTAGGCACGACTGAAGAAAGGAAAAACAAGAAGATTGCAGTCAACACTATCCAAACAAGGGCAGAGAAAGACACACGTCAAATACGCAAAAGCAAACAAATGAATGAAGAGCATCACAGCTGGAAAGTGGAAATATGCAGACCTGGCAAATACTGTAGAAAAGCTGCAAGCAAAGGGATTTCGGAAGAAACATATAATATAATCAGGGGACTAGTAGTAAAATATGGTGCACAAGAACAACTAGTCAGCGATAAAAAAGGAGAACCAATCAATAAGGATCAAAAGGAGAACAACAGGTGGGTAAAACACTTCGAAGAACTCTTGAATAGACTGACTAGGGTTACATTATTACAATTGGAGGGTATCTGGAACTCAAAACAACTATCAGTCAAAATCAAAGTCGGAATTTTCAGCACAAACGTCAAAACATTTCCAGATATTGGAGCTGAAACTTGCAGGACTACTACAACTATCATTATCAAAGAAGTACAGTTATTTATAAACAGCTATCTGCGTAAGATACTTTAAATCCATTGACCAGACGCCACCAGCTATAACCTACTGTGGCAGAAAACGGACCAGATGCCAGCTGAAGAGGAAATTAGGGAAAGACTTTAGATGTGGATAAGACAAATTTTACACAAACCATCAAGCTGTAACAAATAGCAAATCCTAACCCGAAATACTGAAGGCTGAAAGGAAAGAGGGTGACAAAAGAACACATAGTCCCGGGGATCGGAAGCAGGCACTATGAATTTAAGTACCACTTGGTAACAACTAGAAAGGTGAGCCCAGGATAAAGTTGCTTGGAGATGACTGGCCGATGTGTTGTGTATTATGAGACAGACGGCTTAGGGAAAAGTGGAATTCTCTATTAAGTCAATAAGATAGATGGACTCAGTCTTTTGTTGATTATTTGCTTAGATAGATATAATGACTAACCATTTAATCGTCACCTCCCGTAACCGTTTGCCAAACTCAATACTAAACCTGAAGTAAGTGTCTGCACCACCATTGTAACCAATTTGAAGCCATGTCACTCGACACCTCCAACCATTGGTTACGGTGATTGTGCTAACCTCGAACTACCCACCTACCAACACGACTCAGCCCAACAGTGAATGACTTCATAAACTTGTACCACATTTTGGATTGGTTACCCCTAGCTTTCCTTCAAATTACCCCTACACCAGGAAACAACGCGCGTCGAGGTAGAAGGTGGTTGGGCATACGTAATACATGTCCCAATCACATCGATTGGTGAAGATTCACTACCTCATCAACCAGTTTGTCATTTCTATCTAGTACGCTACGTCTAACTCGAGTATTGCTCGCTCTATTGTCCCAATATACGCGACCAATACTTCGAGGGCGTCTATGATCAAATACTATTAGTAAGTTACATATAGGTATTAAAGCGCACAAATAATAAAGGATATGAGTAGTCTGCAATTATTCGGTCGCTCTCTATAGGACCACCAGATTGCCAAGTAAATTTTGTAAGTTGGTTAATACTGTTGTGAAATCTTATCAACACATGTACGTAAGCTGCATCACACCCTGATAGGTTATGTTGGTTAGATAGTCACCCCTGTCTTTTTATATTCTTGTAGATCAGCGGAAAATCGTCGGTCACTTCTAACCATTTTGGTTGATAATGCTCTTCGATCTAGCACTTCCTCGCTTTTGGATATTTTACTACTTCGACAGCTAGTATACATTTTCTGTCTTGATTCCATTCCTATCCTACAAGAGTAAGTGCCTTCAAATATTCTTTTCTCGGAAGAATATATAACTTTTATTTATTGCTGTCCATATATGTGGCGGTTGTATTTGATATCCTGGTCCTTTTATAATTACCTGCTACCTTGGTTTAGTGGCTCATGTTGTTGGCCTCACCTCGCCAAAACGGAGAGCTGACGACATACATCCTCCGTGTATCTGGCCACCTGAAGGTTAGTTTTTGTGGACCGGCAGGTGTAGGTATAGCACTAAGTACGAGGGCAGAACAAGCACTATTAACTGAAATCTGGGAGTTGGACGTAATCACATCTGATTGGTCACAATCACTGATTGTCCCAATATATGAGAAGGGGTCAAAATCATCTTGTGATAAACATAAAGGGATTAGTTTGACTAATATGGCATCTAAAATGCTAGATTCAATACTTATCGGGCGGTTAACAAAGACTCGTGAACTGCAAACACGATAAAATCAGGCTGGCTTCAGAGTTGTTTGTGGCTGCATCGACCACATATTCACTATTCCTCAGGTTTTAGAACACAGACATGCTTATCGGCGTCCGACAACGATAGTTTTTCTTAACTTGAAAGCAGCATTTGACTCTGTTGATCGAGAGGTTCTGTGGCAGTGTCCGTCATTGAATGATGTACCTCAGAAGTACATAAACCTTGTGAAGGCTCCTTACTCAAACACTACTAATCGAGTGAGAGCTTATAGCGAACTGTCACCTGATTTAGCAACCTCAAATGGTGTTCATCAAGGCTGTCCACTATCTCCATTTTTGTTCAATTTCATCATTGACCTACTGCTGGTAATAACGCTTTCGTCATTTGAATTCTTGGGAATCGATCTCCTTCCAGGAGATCCACTTATTGACTTAGAATACGCAAATGACATAGTCCTGTTTGGTGAAGACGCTGATAAAATGCAGAGTCCTTTGGTAGTACAGAACAATACCAGTATGATTGAGATGCGTTTCTACCCCTCTAAATGCAAGTTGTTGCTTCAGGACTGGCCTGCATCAACACTTGAACTAAGGATAGGGAGTGAAGTAGTCGAATACCTTGACAACTTCACTTATCTTGGGAGTCTGATCAACCTTAATGGGTTGGTGTCTGATAACATCTCTGCACGGATTCAGAAAGCTCGTTTGACTTTTGCCAACTTACGCCACCTATGGCGAAGGCGAGATTTTCGTCTATCAATTAAGAGACGAATATACCGCGCGGCAGTTCGTTCTGTCTTACTTTACGGCTGCGGAACATGGCCATTAAAAGTAGAAGATATTCGTAAGCTACTAGTATTTGACCACAGATATCTTAGAAATATTTCTCTCATCTGCTGGGATTACCGGGTAAGTAACAGTGAGGTTAGACATAAGGTATTAGGGAATGATGGTAAATTAGTTGATGAGGTTGTGAACCTTCATCGACTGAGATAGTTGGGCCACGTGTTGCGTATGCCTGAACACCGATTACCACGATGCGCAATGCTGACTAGTGTTAGGGATGGCTGGAAGAAAGTTAGGGGCAGCCAAACCAAAATATGGCATCAGTGCTTGAAGTCATTAAATCCTGGTCTGAGCCACGCTGGTAAATGCAGACTACTTGGTTGGGGTCTGCGTGACTATCGTGACCAATGCTTGGAGACTCTTGGTGACACGGCTCAGAATCGATCACAATGGCGTCGGTGTACACACTCTTTGTCTTCCCTTAAACTATGAGATTGAAATCGCTTCACATCTTCCTCTCTACGAACTAATCCTTTCTTCCTGTACTATGTCCTTATATGCAATCTTTCTTTTATAAATTACCACCACTGAATTAACTACTTCTATAAATCCGGTGTTCATCTTGTTGTGCTAATGACCGATGCACATATGTGCCTGGTCTTACGCTTTAGTTGACTGACTGAATGAGTCACTAGACAATGCGTTAAAATAGTGTTGATCCACTGGTAATTGTCAAAAATAATCATTGAATCAGCAAATGGCATACTGGAGGAAATAGTGATTCATTTAATTGTGATAAGTGGGAAGAACATATAAAGAGCAACAATGTCATTACGATTATACGACAGAAGAAACGAGTTTAAATGGTGAGTGTGCTAACCACTGGTTGATGGCCACTCGATTTCAAGGGTTTTTGTACCGTAAGTTTGTCACTCATTTTATAGTAGGCTCCGCGATATTAAGCAACAGAAGTTAACTCTGAACCAGACTCAAAATTCGCGTCATTGGACTATATATTTGCATGCAGTAGAAACTATCGATTTGAAGGACCTTATACTCGATGGTTTTTTACACGTAAATGAGATCGCAACACGTCGATGCGACACACGAAACATTTAGTCTACGATGAACCATGTTTTTTTTATAGCCAAACTCTCTGCATCTGGTGGTTTGTTAGAAATAACTGACTGACTTATTTTAACAAGTTTGAAGTATATCACGCATATTAGTTTATTGAACAACTAAGTCTCTTGTAGAGGTTAGTATCCAGCCAGATACTACTTTGTGTACTAGGAGAGGATGAATTAATTTTATCCTACTCACTCACACCACCCTGCATAATAGAGTAAGTTGGGCGAGTTGACAACCGAGCAATCGAACACAATGTACGTATATTTAATAGGGAGGCCGAGAGACAATAACCACCAATAAAACAAGCCCCAACTCAAGGCAGTCTGGAGATTGAAACTAGAGTAGTGTATAACTCGATCAGTTGTTTGGAATCGCCGTTATAGTAAATCCTTCAATGAGATACGTAAGAATTTTCAGCTTAACGAACTTCTAGCTAACTATTACTGCCTAAAATACGAGATATCGATCAAAACAATCAATCAATCAGTAGTTTTAAATCAAAGGTCGTTTCTATTTACCGTATTGCTAATGTTACACTAGAAGTACGTAGTCTGACAAGTTTTAACTTACTTATGTTAGCGGTTTCAATATTCAATACTACGTATGTTCAATTTTTGCTATAAGTTGTGTAGGTGTATAAAAGAGTTCTACTGCCACCCGCTGTCAGTAGAAGCAAAATACAGGAAATACTATTCTGATCCATGAATGATTATGTTTTGGTTTATCCAATGTCACTTTGAATATGTTTAAAAAAATGATTCGTCACAGTTATGGGACAAAAATTTGCATTTCCTTGACACTTCCAATATCCACCTTCTTTAAACGAGCTAACACGACCCAGCTTAACTTCTTTCTGTCAGTATGTCAGTTTACGAGACGTTTTAACTTTCCATAAAGTTTTATTTAGTCAATCGACTATGACACACGTGGTGATTCAACAGGTGTCGACATTGTAGTGGTAAGTAAATCCATGGAGTAAAAAGCTTCATAGGTCTTCGAAAATGATGCCGATCTTATTAGTTTTATCTGGTTCACCACTAGCTGAAACCCCTTGAGCAAGCACCCTTTCTGCATCACATTTCGACGAGCTACGTAGCCCATAACCCATGATAAGTATGTAGCGGTAAATAAATCCCAAAAATTAGTATTTGTGCAAGTCTTCGATATTCCATGCCAACCCCATTAGTTTTGCTGGACACGTCTAGCTGAAGACGCTTGGTCATTCACTCGCACGTGATCACGAGTGGGTTCTTCGTACTGCGTATCTCTTACAACCGTTGGCCAGCTTAGATCAAACGTTTCTCGATACATCAATTGCCTTTAAAATATATATTTGAGCCTGTTCGTTTCCGACTTTTTATTTGATCGGGATGACATACTTTGATTATAAAGGGGTTACATGTAAAGACGTCGTCAAACTCCAAATACCTGTGGCATTTCTAAACATTCAGCTCAGACATCATTCAGTTAGATACCTCAGCCCATAATGTTGATATATTATTATTGCATCATTTTTGACCCACAATTTTATTGGATTTAGGACGATTGCGTAACAATAAACCTGGATTGCAGTAGATTCTAGTCGTGTTACCCTTCTACAAAGAAGTCAAGTTCGATCCAGGGTAATTAGAAAGACCTTCTTAGCTGTGGTTCTCCTTTATGTGACACTGTAATGTAAGCCTCCGTCACATGGTGAGTTTTCCGCTTGTGAGTTTATCTGGTTTCAATGATTCCACACCATTGCGTGTGCACGTATCATCTTTAATTCGTACTTATTGTCCTATTGCTTCGATATCACATCACTTTGGTGATAGACAGTCATCATTAAGATTATTTGGAGAAGTATATTCTGTTGTTGTTAACTGCTCTTTGTCGACGAAGTGTTACAAGAAACTGAAATAACTCCGTGTTCTATCAGATCACCATTTAAAGACTTATCTAGTCTCCCTAGTTTGATGATGCTACCTCCTCAGAAATCATTCAGGAAATGTCCTGTTTTTGCAGTTCTATTTTTGATTTATCAATCTCTTTTCTGTGCCAGATGTGCCGACTCCAACTTTCAGTTTTATTTCGCTTAATGTAGTTTTATGCTGTATATATATGGTTCCGTCGTTTGTTTGTTGTTGTTTGTGCTTCTGGCCGCTTGCGGTATATACCTTCTACTTATCTGAAAAAAGGTCTTCTACCTCTAGTTAACGGCTCCGGGACGCTTCTGAACAGTCAGCTTTGAATATTTTAGTGGCACTGAACCTTCACTTTATTGGCCGACTTATTTGGTCTGGTTATCTATTCAAATATAACACTATGTAAATAATTCCTAATATCAGAAGATCTAACAGCTAGGAATCTGTTGATTTGAAATCATTATATAAGACTTACAGATGAAATCTATGCATCGGTTATATAAAATTTATGATTCGTTACCTAACACACGTTATTGAGTTCGACTTTTTATTGTAAGAAATATCCTTGATACATCTGACAATTTTGCATGATACAGTGGTAGGACGAGGCAGTTTTTGGCACCGCTTTGATAATGAATTAAATGTCTGTTGTTACCGTTGTTGTAAATGCTATATACATTTTTAAAGGCTGATCACTACTTTATGGTAAATAGACCGATTGTATTTTGATATGTTGTTGTCTGACTATTTCAACTTTGTCATTGTTAGTTGTTAAGTAATTAGTCTTTTTATTCATTTTAACATCAAAAATCCACGTTCTTAAGATTTAGAAAACTTTGGAACATGACACATTCAAAGATAAGGTCAGGATACAGAAACTTTACTTGATCGGCATTCTGTTAATGAGGTATTTACTGTATGGTTTTCAGATTTGACTAGGAGATTTTGTAATGCTTTGTCCAAATACATCTGGTTATCCCCGCCTGTGTTCTCATTCACATTGCTATGAGCCACCGGACTAACAGAACAATTGAAAAGATGAAATCGCTTAGTTTGTCGTTTCTGTATTTTTGATGTGTAGTCGATAATTAAGGCAGTAAATTTTGATAAACTCGTAATATTACATTAGGAATTCCTTGAGTTTCATACCAGTATGCTGTATTTATCTATATACTTGCAAATAAAGGTTTACAAAATAAAGTTGTAACATACAGAAATCCTCATTCTCCTTATTTAGATTCAGTATAGATGTTTGTGTGACACTGAAGCCCACTTAAACAGAAGTTTGAAGACACAACAACTCGGTAAATAAGTGGCGCCCACGGAGACGGAGAAATACACATAGAAATACGAATACCAATATCTGAAATTTTTTTACTCTGGTTTGTACGTTTAGTACGTAAATCAGTTCAATTTCACCCAAAATTCAACACTCAACGAAAAGGGTTTTCACGAAAAGTTACTCGTTAGTCTACTCAGTTGATTGATTTTTTCAACAACAGTAGACATTTAAGACAAACAACGAACATGAATCGAATCTCCTAGCGACACCCATTTAAGTCAGTTGAGAGGTTAAGAACAAGTATACGGTCATTCGGTATGTTAGCTATTGAATTCAAGATGCTAAGTAAAACAAAGAAAAATTATAATCAGCAGCTTCAACAAAATCAAAGGGCTCTGCATGGTTCATGATATGCAAACTATAATATAGGACCAGTGAAATGAAATTAGGTCCCGTCTAAATTACCCGGCAGCCAGGTCACTAAATATCAGACAGTTTACCGGTCCTCTTCAATGTCAATGACAGGCAAGGAGCATCAGTTAGTTACACGTCATGGACTGGCCGAGGAGCTGGTGATCACACTCCGTTACATGTATCTACTCTTGCTAATATATTTCTGTATTAACGTTGTTTGTATTGTACAGTCTAAAATAGCCATATTACTTGAATACAACAAAAGTGCGACTCACGTTTGGTACTAACCGTGAGGTGTGACTTCGATGTTAGCTGGTCGGTCACACCATTCCCTTTTAACCTTAGTACCCATCATGTATTCGACCAGATCATCTACACCGGCGATCTGCAAAAATAATTGAGAACAAACCGAAGGAGGAACTATGTCCTTGCATATGTAGACAAAAATAGAATAAGGATTACTGGAAAAAAGTCAAGGGAATAGTCGTAGAATAAGACATGCACACAGAAAGTCTCTCACATACAAGAACGTACAAAATGGGTAATATACCAGTAATTCGGCAATGATAATGGCACTTTTTTTTACCATGAAATGCATAAATTGGGCAAAATATGCAAGCAGTCGGAACAATCTAGAGATATTATGGATACGTAGTGCTTGACAACGTTGTTGCTCATAACAATTTAACGAGATCCAGAAGCTAATCGAGTGAGAAGTCGCGAACGAAGGAGTTCGTGAGAGAGTCGATGTGTCAGAAAGTGTGAGATCTATGCTGAATGAGCGTCACATAGGATGTATAGAACGGCGGACCCGCTCGTTATCTGGTGGGAATGCGTTGCCGAACGCTTTCAGCTAGGGTGTGTCAATCATTACTAATGAAGTAAGCACCAATATAGAAGATATACAGAACCATTTATTTTGGGGACCTACCGCTTCTTGTTAGTTATCCGGGTTACGTAACCCAACTGGTGCTTCAAAAACGCAGGCGTAATCTTAAGTGCGAAATATCAAAGAAATGAAGTCACGAGTAAGAAAGTCATCGCTTTTCAATGGTGACAGACGTCCGTTACAAACATGAAGGGTATTTCCGTTACTAAGGAATTGGTCATTTCAAACAATTTGGATAAAAAGAATAAGAATAAGGTAAACTAACATAGCAGACGCCCGAATATACGTTTAGGCAAATCAAAACTAACAGTCACTGGAATATCCCATAAGTTAGAAGTGGCAGGATTCGAGAATCAGTGTAATAGGAAAATATGCGTAATAAGCTTATTTTATATCGATGGAATAAATATGGTGCATATTAATGGATATTTTGTGGAAGAAAACCCTAGAATTATCATAAAACAAAAGGGTGTTGTCACTTCGAATGTATGTATGAAGTGACTTTCACACAAATGCACGTAAGCACATCTGGAAGAGATATGTGGGAGATGGCGTAACGTCAGGTGCTATGTTGAACCCATATAGATTAACCTAGCTTCTGGACAAGCCAGCGTATCCTTTTTTCTTAAACCAGATTTTGATCTTGTCATTTATTGACTTATTTATTCTGGCTAATTTCAGATGAGCGTACGTGTGTGCACGTCTTATTCGACTCATTACATGTCTGTAACTTATTTTTATCTTGCTATAAATATTGATTAATTGTTGATTAAACCAAGTTGGTCCATTTGTCTTCACCAACCTGCTGTTTGGTCGCCCTGATCGCCTGTTAAAATCAGTGAGTGCATGAAATATATTTTTTCAAAACCTGTTATCCTACTTGAGTTGTTAAATTCCGTTATTCACCAACGCGGATTAAGTCGATAATTATATACGAGGATAGACGACATGTGTATTTTAATAGCAATCAGTCATACGATCCAAATGTAGTCAGATCTCGAGCCACAAATAATGTTACACGTAGATTGCTATTGGTTCCTCAGTCGTTTAGAAATAAATGACTATCACAAACTTACTGTATATAATGATGAAAATAAGGAGTCATTAGCATGTTACAATAGACGATATTACAGTGGTATAAAAATGGCAGAAAACGCTTGCTGAATTTATGATGAAAAATACATCCATTTCATTAGGTAGTGGCATGTTAACTTCTGTGGTCACAGAATCAATCGTCAATTTGCTCAGTGAACTCAGATTTGCTTTATAATGCAGGGTTTGTTTTAATGGTAGTTCAAAAACTCCGAAGACTTATTCATTTGTTACTGTTAACATTAAGATAGGCATACGGATCGAGGGTTACTATTTCTGAAGCTTGATATTTTCAAGCATTCGGAACTTCATGATTATATTCACGGGAAAATACTGTCCTACCAATCAGTTTCACGTAACCAGAACTGCAAAAACAGGACATTTCCTGAATGATTTCTGAGGAGGTAGCATCATCAAACTAGGGAGACTAGATAAGTCTTTAAATGGTGATCTGATAGAACACGGAGTTATTTCAGTTTCTTGTAACACTTCGTCGACAAAGAGCAGTTAACAACAACAGAATATACTTCTCCAAATAATCTTAATGATGACTGTCTATCACCAAAGTGATGTGATATCGAAGCAATAGGACAATAAGTACGAATTAAAGATGATACGTGCACACGCAATGGTGTGGAATCATTGAAACCAGATAAACTCACAAGCGGAAAACTCACCATGTGACGGAGGCTTACATTACAGTGTCACATAAAGGAGAACCACAGCTAAGAAGGTCTTTCTAATTACCCTGGATCGAACTTGACTTCTTTGTAGAAGGGTAACACGACTAGAATCTACTGCAATCCAGGTTTATTGTTACGCAATCGTCCTAAATCCAATAAAATTGTGGGTCAAAAATGATGCAATAATAATATATCAACATTATGGGCTGAGGTATCTAACTGAATGATGTCTGAGCTGAATGTTTAGAAATGCCACAGGTATTTGGAGTTTGACGACGTCTTTACATGTAACCCCTTTATAATCAAAGTATGTCATCCCGATCAAATAAAAAGTCGGAAACGAACAGGCTCAAATATATATTTTAAAGGCAATTGATGTATCGAGAAACGTTTGATCTAAGCTGGCCAACGGTTGTAAGAGATACGCAGTACGAAGAACCCACTCGTGATCACGTGCGAGTGAATGACCAAGCGTCTTCAGCTAGACGTGTCCAGCAAAACTAATGGGGTTGGCATGGAATATCGAAGACTTGCACAAATACTAATTTTTGGGATTTATTTACCGCTACATACTTATCATGGGTTATGGGCTACGTAGCTCGTCGAAATGTGATGCAGAAAGGGTGCTTGCTCAAGGGGTTTCAGCTAGTGGTGAACCAGATAAAACTAATAAGATCGGCATCATTTTCGAAGACCTATGAAGCTTTTTACTCCATGGATTTACTTACCACTACAATGTTGACACCTGTTGAATCACCACGTGTGTTTAATTTGATTCTCTACTTCAAACTACTCAAAAACCTTACTTATTCAACATGTGAGTTAATTCATGCCCGAAATTCACATGAATACGGACTTCGAAACAAAGTATCTACGGTCAAATTTGAGAATTGCAGATCAAAAACTTCGGAAAACTTCTTCCTCTTAAAGTATGCAATAATATGGAACAGTCTTCCCTCCGAAACTTGCATGGCAGATGAATTACATACGTTTGTAAAACTGCTTGATCAAGCCCTCATTTGCATTGATCTTGCACGTACGAACACATCTGCGCCCCACTCAGACATCATAGGCTTTCTCCATGTCTACACGAAATAGACTTCAAGTTCAGTTTGCCTCATTTTTCCTACATTGCAGTTGAATTAATTACTTTTTCCACCCTATTTCTTCACTTGAAGTAGACAGGTAACTCACCGGACTTATCATTACTGTTAAACTAAACTCGGTCGATAAGGGACAGTCACTACCTCCCTAAAAAGTCAAGAGGATCGCACAATCGGCTGCCTACTACCAGTGGTCTTGCATCTATGGAACCTGTTACCAATCAACTGGTTAAGACAACAGAAAATAACATCAGCACCAAGTTACTGTGAGTTCCTTCCTGTTTATCCTGTATTAACTTTTTACTCTTCTGTACACTATGTTGACTAGCAATTAATATTATTTCTCCACCCGTTGCCTTATCCACAACTCGTATACTTCTATACTTTTTCCGCCTGCTTAAATAAACAACTATCCTACAATATACCCTTCTTAACGCTTACACTCTGATTGGCAAACTATACTTTATACTATAGTCAACAGAGGCACTGCATCGATGCTTTAGCCACAGTCCATAACTTGTAACTGCCTGATAAGCTTGTAAAATGGTACTTATAGAAATAGTGCTTTCCAACAGATTGTGAAACAGAGGATTGTGTGAGGTATGACGTATATACAAAAATAAGCTTAAATGAGCCTAACATCACTAAAGGAGGGAGGGTGGAGTTACTGACCAGCAAGCATTGATGGTGAGGGCGATAACTTCAATCCACCCGTGTTTGTGGGGACAGAACATTTTGTGTGTATCAGGCTCCTCATGATTGAGAATAAGTCAATCAATCTGTGATATAGATTGTCTTCCTACGCTCACCACTCAGACTCATGTTTCCCATATTATGCTGGATTAGCTATTCTACTAAGACAACCTATAACATGCTGACTCGGACGTTTACACTAGGTTTGTGTGGCTGGCATCGGATAGACAAAAAAATAGATAACAAAAGATATAGTCATTAGTATTCTTAACACTTCACCCTCTATATACACACCCTTCTAATAAACCGCTTCCCTTGTAACAACCCTGACTTCCCTTCCTTCATGTGAGCTTACTCCAACTTGTTAAACAGCACAACTCATTGTTCTTTATTAGTACATTCTCTAATATGGAGCCTCTGACTTCACTTCACTCTAACAAGACATAATATGAATTTATCCTAATTTATTATACCTCTGTCCGTTCTACTACACAATGTTAAGCAACGTTTGGCGTTCATATCCAAGTGCCTTGCTGCTCTTCTGTTTCTCTTTCTTTTCTTCAGAATCTTGCTCTGAGAGCACAGCTATGAAACTTCTGACGTTTGGAGCAAACTTGACGTACGCGCCCTCTCAAGGTCATAGTTTACAGCAAGCGCTCTACGATTTCCCTTTATAACAACTATAAACTTATTAAGTTGAGAAGTATTTTGCGAACCAACAAATGTTGTAATTTATAGATCATGCCTGTAAAAACGGTGTGTACCTGCACATGCAGAAATATATAATTATTATTGTTACTACATGCAAATATATAGTCCAATGACGCGAATTTTGAGTCTGGTTCAGAGTTAACTTCTGTTGCTTAATATCGCGGAGCCTACTATAAAATGAGTGACAAACTTACGGTACAAAAACCCTTGAAATCGAGTGGCCATCAACCAGTGGTTAGCACACTCACCATTTAAACTCGTTT